AGTGAATCAATAACATTTATTACAATATAATTATTATCAATATATGGTAATACGTTTCATTTAAGGTTTTATATGCACACAGATGTGCAACGCCATTGTCATTTTTCTCTGTATTTTCGTAAGACAAGTGCACAATTTGCAATAGCATGGGAGAGGAGGTATGGTGTGACAATGGTGAGGATTGTAGGGAATTGGATTAGAATTTGAGTCGACTAGATTATTGGGTTAGATGAGGATGGACTAAAGGTGGTGGAGGTGGGTGGATGAGTAAACAGGGGTGAAAGGAATGGGTGGAGGAGAGTTGAGAAGGGGTGGAGAAGTGTCGCGGGTGGCGGGAGAGGGTAGGGAAGTGATAGGAGCAATGGAGGAAGAGGTAGAGGATGGCAAAGAAAGGGGCTAGGGGCTTTTGCAGAAGAAAATAAAAGTGAGAAGGGTACTTTTTTAAAAACAATTCAATGATTTGTAAATATTTCCCCCAATTTGACACTATTTTGTTATTTTCCCTAATAATGGATTCTCTCCTTAGTTTGGGAAAGTATGTTAAAGGTTGGCAGTGAAACAATTTCCAACCTCTGTTGATAGAGACAGAAACTGTGACCAACCATGCTATTGTGTGTAGTTTAATGTCTTATTCTAGGGCCTTTTCGAATTTGATAATATGACAAAACAAAAACACAATTGTGCATAACAAATATGTACTTTGTTAATCTTCAAATGCGTACAAATGTGTGAATAATTTCACAGCCCAAGTATGAGAGAAATTTGCTAACTTCTACTCCTACTCCTACTATTTGTTAATCTTCAAATGTGTATAAATGTGAGACTTAGGCCTCGTTTGGGAACAGGCTAATTTAGTAACTTTTTGGCTATTTGGCTAAAAAGGTAGGTAAAAAAAACTTGTATGTTTGGAATGACTTTTTGGCTAATTACGAAAAGATGTGCAAAAAGTAGAGAGAAAAGAGAATCTTTGACTTTTTGGTATATGTTGTTGGCTTTTTGGCTAATTTAGTAACTTTTTGGCTAATTGGCTAAAATAGCCTCTTGCCAAACGAGGCCAATTTTACTGAGTATGAGATAAATTTGCTCACTTCTACAACTCCTCCTACTACCACTTGTAAGCCAAGTATGTGGGGTTGATGTGGTCTCGAGTGGAATCTTTTCCTTATGGCAATTGACCTATTTATAGATTATTACATACGCTTATCGGTATATGTAGGGATGTAAGAAAAACCGAAATAACCGATCAAACCGATTGAACCAAACTAAACCGGCTATATTTGGTCTGTTTTTTAACAAGAAACGGTTTGTGAGGTTTTTAAATTTGAATTTTTTCGATTTTCGGTTCGGTATCGGTTTAAGCACCTTGTGCACCGATCTAAACTGAAACCGACCGCTTCAACATATATTGAATTTATAATATATATATAATCTAATAATATAATGATATTAATAAGTATAATAAATTATTAACCTTAATTAATTAATCTTATCTTTTTTATAGCCTAAGTTTGTAAACTCTTATTATATATAATCGTAACTCTAACTCATTATTCTTGAAACCTTAATATTTTTGAATTTTTTTTTTGTTTTTATTTTTGTTAATTTACGAATTGAAATGTATGTGTTAAATGGATGAATTGGATATACTTGAAATGGTAGACAAATAACTAATTTAATATTTTTATATAGATTAATGATTATATTTAAAAGTGGCTCAAGTTTAAAAAATCCTAAACCGATTAAACCGTACCAAACCGAACCGTTTCAATCGGTTCGGTTCGGTACGGTTTGATGGGAGAAGCGGTCTGTATCGGTGTTCAAAATAATAAAACCGACATTATCGATACGGTGTAATTTTTTAACTAAATACCGACCGTACCAAACCGATTACATCCCTGGGCATATGATTGTTTGGCAGTTATCAGATTAGAAACAGGTAATTTGCCATCTTCAATTATAAGTAGTTTTCTTTCAAAGTTTAATTACATACCTCTTTTAACCATCCATTTTCATCTCATGATAATGTTATGTTTTCTCCTCGCCGTCTCATTTCCTCTTTTGTAGAATTTTTTTAAGGAACACTAGAGTTTGGCATATCTAGTGGTTTGTCACCTATACAAAATGCACACTTGCCATTATCACTATATCTCCCTTTTGCATCCTTGGATGCAACCCTCCCTCTACAATAAAAGTAGTAAAGATCTTGTTCTAATTACAATGTGGAGAGGAAGACTTTGGAGATGTTTTAACTCCACAAAAGTTTTCAAAACTATCTACGCCTTCATTGAGGAGGGTTGAACACCCAATCCTCAAAAAAGGCCCCGTGGGTCTCTTACTTATTAAGAACAATAGGTCAAATGTCTTTTGAGTCAACCATTGTGTGAAAATACGATAACAATGGTTTATCTATTCAGTTTGGTTGGCACGAGATTCTAACCAATTTGGCTTGAGCTCCATAAATATGTATTTATTAATGTTAACATCTTATATCATAGAAATATAAAATGAGAGAGAGAGAGAGAGAGAGAGAGAATTACAAGATCAGTGACAAGTTGTAGCTAAAGTTAGATGTTTTAATCCACATCGATCAACAGTTAAAAGAGAAAATTAATGGATAGTCCATTGTACGTGGAATAGATAATTTTTCTTTTATCAAAACAAAACCTAGCTAGGTAATTATAGCTCTTAACCCTTAAAATCCTTTTCAATCTTGCAAAATGGAATATAGATTGGCATTTAAATCCTCTTCACGTTTATTCCATTTGATTTGAAATGTCCAAAACAAGAAAAACATTTTAATTCACCAATTCATATCAATCTTAGCATTAGAAAATTGGTACATTAACTTTTTCTCTTCATGTCAAGCGACTTGTACTTTCGGCCCCTTTGTTCATTTCTGAATGATGACTTTCATACACAATAATAGTTACATCTTATCCATATTGTATATCCAAATATATGTTAAAATTTCAAAATAGATTATCAAAAATGTTGAGGAATAAGAAAATAACAAGAAAGAAAGAGAAACGTTTGCCGGAGAATTTTTTTTTTCAACTTGTCTACATAAGACAAAAAATGGGTGTTTCAATTCGCATATTTGCATTCACAAATTTAAGAGTATAATTGTATGTGCACTAATATCCATTCTACAATTCTATATTCAAAAAAAATTCTATGTAACACTTTATTAAACAAGTTTTCCTCTCTTTTTAATGTGGGACAAGTTCCCAAACTTATTTCTAACTTTCCAAAAAAAAAAAAATGAAAGATTTGAAAAACACCCCAAAACTAAAACTATTTATTTTTTAAAGCTCTTTTGAAAATTTCCCAACAACGTTTATTCTGAGCTTGATCTTGAATTTGTAGAGAATTTGTAGAGGGGAAGAAAAGGAAAGGAGAAGTATAGGAAAAGAAAATTAATTGGAAAAAAACAAACTTCTTTCATTTGTTTGGTAGAGTTAAGAAAATGAATTGTTTGTCCCAAAAAAAAATATTTTTTGTTTGTTTATTAAAAAAATGAATATTTTTATAGTAATAATTTTATTCCTTTTCTTTTTCCTTTTCCTTTTCCTTTTCCTTTAGAGATCTAAAATTCAAACAGAACGTTAGAGTTCAAAACATAAAATGAACGTTTTACCAATTTTGGATTATCTACACCAATAATGCATAGAAATTTTGGGACATATTGGTTGTATTTTCATTTATATTTTTGAAAAACAAGAATTGCTAATGGACTATAAACTTTGAAAGGTTGGAATCTCATCACACATTGTGATTTCGTGATGTAAGCACAACTAAAAATACCTATGCCTCTACAATTTGTATAGTAAATTTTCATTATAAAGGTGTGTTTCAATCTTGAATTTATAATCAATTTAAAATAAAAATTAGCTTCTATTTATGTTTTCTTTTTTTAAAAAAAAAAATTTAATCCAAATAAAGACATTGAAATAAAAAGAAAGAAGTACGGGTTTTAATTAAGTGGAATGAGAACTCTCTAATCTTAATTAAAAAAAATTCATTTTGTTTTTTTGGAAATTACATTAAGAATCATAGTATGTTTGGTTTTAGTTTTCTGAATTTAATTTTTTGAAAATTGAATATTTTATTTTTCATATTTTTTTTTATTTTTAATGAATAATTTTAAATTTTTAAACAATTTTTTTTTTTACTTTTTAAGATGCACTTTACTTAAATGTATCTAAATAATAAAATATTTGTGAAAAAATATTTTAAAAAATTAATAAATACACAAAAATATATTGAATTTTTACATTTTTGGTATTTAGTAAATTTTTTAAAGATTTTTTTCACAAATATTATACTTTCTAATTGTATCAATGTGAGATATGTCTACAAATTAAAAAAAAAATTACTTAAAATATTAAAAAAATGATTCAAAACTAAAAAAATATTAAAAATAAAAAAATATTTTTTTTTGAAAAGTATTTTCTAAAAACCAAAACCAAACAAGTTATTTACTACTTTACTAAGACATTCATTTTATAGCTTCATTGGGCCTACCAAATTAGTACATTACTGTTTAAATTTTTTATATTTTCTTTGGTACTCATGAATGCATGTCAATGCATATGATTTATATACAAAATTCAATGACAAATGTTCGAGAATTCTAAATTCTTCAACACATAATGACATAGTATTTTATGTGCTAATTTTTAGATTCTTATGACAAATTCAATCATATATATGACCCAATTTGTTATGCACATTACTGTGGACGGATTTAGAATTTTAAATCATAAATCTCTAACATTTGTAAAAAAATAAAGCTATATATATTAATTAGTGTAATTAACAAATGATATGATATAATTTTAAAAATTTTGAGTTTTTATAATTTATAAAATGAGTAGTTTCCAGTTTTAAAGTGATAATGTCATAACATAATTTAGTACACTAATTAATATATTAATTAGTGTCTGTAACACTATTATTTGTAAAATTCAATATAATGGCAAAGTGTAAAAACAACATAGTTATGTGGTAATACCAATAATCAATGTGCAAAAGTAGTTAAATTACCTTCTTGAAGGGGGGAAAAAAATTAAATAAATAAAATCTGAAAATTTACATGATCATTCGACTGGGGTAATTAACTTCAGCTTCCCAGCCGATTCATAAAGCCGAGCCAAGCTCACGGCGCAGCTGGGGCTAAGCTAAGATGCAAATCCAAGCCGAATGAGTCATCCGAACTAGGCCCACTATCACCTCTCGAAAACCTACTCAACGAAGGCCCATCAACACTTCCATAGGCCCGACCCTGTTGAGGCCCATTAATCAACATCGACTCTCCTACACCGCCACCATACGGTACCATCCCTGCATCTCTCCCACCCAACACCGCCCCTGCCGTCGATGAAAACACACATCCGTGCGACACGTGGAATGGAGGGGCGGCGCGTGGGACATAAACCCACGACGGAGATTGCCCTGCCGCCGTTGCCGGAAGCACCACTTGTCCCGGCGAAGGGAGGAGGTGGTGCGGCGGAGCGAAGGCGGAGACCATCGGGTTCCGCATGAATGAAACGGCAGCATTTCGGTGGTGGGCTTGCATTTGGGCTCGCTTCAATTGTTGTCTTTCTTTTTTGTGAGCGTTTTGGTGGCCACCCAATGCTTGTGAGTTGGCGAATTCACGGCAGCAGTACTGGCACTCGTATTTCCGGCCTTCGGCGGCAGGAAAACAGCCGGACTCCGGCGACCCAGATGGGGTCTTGGTCGAGTCTACCTCTTCGTCTTCTGACACGTGGAATCCGAAGAGCTTCAAACGTGAATTACTAGTGGTGGTTGTGTTTTTGTGGTTATTATTGTTGTTGGGTAGCTTAGTTTGATACTCAAGTTCAGCCATGGAGAGAGAGAGAGAGAGAGAGAGAGAGAGAGAAACTCAGATGGGCTTGGAGACAGAGCGAGAGTGATGGGGAGTGATATGTTGAGAGGTTGTTGCATGTGTGTGTGGGGGGTATTTATACAGGATAAAAGGGTTTAAAGTTTGAGGGCAGTTTAGTGTGAGAGAGAGAGAGAGAGAGAGAGAGAGATGGTTGCGGTTGCGGACATCCCAAGGAGAAGAAAGTGAGTGAAATTTGGAACACGACCCAAAAACACTTGGGGACCCAATGGATTGCACTTGTCTTTGGGTATCATCCTCTATGTTTGTCAATTTACTAATATATCCTTTGTTTCTAAAATGAATCAACTTCTCAGAACTTTTTTTTATTTATTTATAAAACTAATAGAGCGGGATCCACAAACCACTTATACTGGCTAATTGTCAATTCAACAATGATTCATCCCCTTTTCCTCCCATCCCTTTTGACCCCCTCTCTCTCTCATTGGTTACATTTTCTTTTTCTTTTTCTTTTTTTTCCTGCTCCTCCAATCACCACCTGTCACGTGACAAAGGGGGTGAGGGGGTGACCCCCAAAAGGGGATCCCAAGCATTATTCTTGTCAATTAAGTGAGGGTCATGACACCGTATTTACACAACACACACCCAAAAGCTATCCGAGGTGCGATAGTCCCAACTAACCCTCCTAGACCCGAAAACACAAAGTCAGGCTCAAAGAGAGTTGAAAATTGAGCCCACACAAGAGGTCCCGAAATTAATTTTTTTGAACCAACACAGCGGGACTCACAAACCACTCACACTGAACAATTGTTGATCAGGTGAGAGCCATTACATTGTAGTTACACAAACTTCTTAGAGTTTGACTTGTTAATAATTCATTTGAAATTTTAAGTGGCATGAATAAAGAAAGTTGAAAAAAAATTTGAAATTAGTTCATTCCTTTTAACTCAACTTGAACTTAGATTAGTTATATCCACTGTAAAAAATAAAAAATAAAAAATAAATATTGGAATTTTACTAAATTTATAAGTTAAATTTAAATAACTTATTGTTCAGCTTGATTCATTTATGACTTTAGACATTCCATTAATTCATAATTACTTGATTTGGGTCAATGATCTTATATCCTTATATTCTTATGTTCTTAATGTCTTAAAATATTTACTACGTAAATGATATAAGAATTTTGACATATGAAAATCTTGAAACATGATTTATTAATGATTTTAATTATGAGTGTTTTGAAATATGAAGACATAAGATCATGTGTCATGTGATTTTCTTGTTTGGCATAACCTAAAAAAATTCATCTTTTTATCTTTTTTGGATCATATCAATCAATATCTCCTCTCTACTTTTTTATACATCTTTTTTTATAAAAAAATTAAAAAATGCTCTTATTTAGGACATCTCAAACCTTACATTCTTTTGTTTTATTGATAAGTAAGAACAATTCTAATATTTTATTGATATGTAAGAACAATTCTAAGTAGTGGCAAAATCATAAGGCTTGTCAATGATATTTTTTTGGTTACACATCTAAAAAAATCTCTCTAATAATGTGCCAAATGTCTAAAAAATAAACAATAATAACAAAATAAAACAAAACAAAACTCTTTTACACTACAATAAGTCAAAAAATTATAAAGCTTTTATTATTAAAGTTACTATATTATATATTTAACCATTAGGATCATTTCCCTCCATCTTTGTTGCTGATGTGACATTTTATAAAATTAATAGTATTTAGATGAATAGCTAAAATAAAGAGCATGGTTGGAGTAGAAACATGAAATAGTTGATAGAAAAAATAAAATATATACTTATAGTAATATTTAAATAGATAAAATGTCTATTACCGTTGGAGATGCTCTGAGTGAGGGTGATGACACCGTATTTACACAACACACACCTAAAAGTTATCCGATGTGCGATAGTCCTAGCTAACGCTCCTAGACCCGAAAACCTCGCCTGACAAAGTCAGGCTCAAAGAGAGTTGAAAATTGAGCCCACACAAGAGGTTCCGAAATTAATTTTTTTGAACCAATACAGCGGAACTCACAAACCACTCACGTTGAACAATTGCTGATCAGGTGAGAGCCATTACATTGTAGTTACACAAACTTCTTAGAGTTTGACTTGTTAATAATTCATTTGAAATTTTAAGTGATATGAACAAAGAAAGTTGAAAAAAAAATTGAAATTAGTTAATTCCTTTTAACTCAACTTGAACTTAGATTAGTTATATCCACTGTAAAAAATAAAAAATAAAAAATAAATATTGGAATTTTACTAAATTTATAAGTTAAATTTAAATAACTTATTGTTCAGTTTGATTCGTTTATGACTTTAGACATCCCATTAATTCATAATTACTTGATTTGGGTCAATGATCTTATATCCTTAGATTCTTATGTTCTTATGGCATGTTTGATTGGAATGATTAAAGCATGGGATTAGGATTATTAATCCGTGGGCCCAATCATCCTATGTTTGTTTTGACATTTTGGTTTAGGATTATTAATCCAATGGATAATTAATCCAACAAATTTGTAGGATTATTAGTAATGGGGTAGGGATGGGATAGTTAATACCACACTAATTTGATGGGATTATTAATACTTTACTATTAGTGTTGTGAATCAAACATGGCCTTAATGTCTTAAAATATTTACTACGTAAATGATATAAGAATTTTGACATATGAAAATCTTGAAACATGATTTATTAATGATTTTAATTATGAGTGTTTTGAAATATGAAGACATAAGATCATGTGTCATGTGATTTTCTTGTTTGGCATAACCTAAAAAAATTCATCTTTTTATCTTTTTTGGATCATATCAATCAATATCTCCTCTCTACTTTTTTATACATCTTTTTTTATAAAAAAATTAAAAAATGCTCTTATTTAGGACATCTCAAACCTTACATTCTTTTGTTTTATTGATAAGTAAGAACAATTCTAATATTTTATTGATATGTAAGAACAATTCTAAGTAGTGGCAAAATCATAAGGCTTGTCAATGATATTTTTTTGGTTACACATCTAAAAAAATCTCTCTAATAATGTGCCAAATGTCTAAAAAATAAACAATAATAACAAAATAAAACAAAACAAAACTCTTTTACACTACAATAAGTCAAAAAATTATAAAGCTTTTATTATTAAAGTTACTCTAATCAATGTAAATTAACTTGAGGTGAAGAATGTGAGGCAGTGCGTGCATGTGAGTCTTGTGGATAGTCGAACAATCAAATGATTGAGTTTGTACACTTTTCTTTTTTATCACATGAAAAATGTCTAATCTGTCACAGACATGATTGAGTAGCTTCCTAATTTTCATTAGTATTAACAGCCAAGAGGATATTCTATATTATAGGAGTTTTAGAAATTAAATTTTTTAATTTTTAAAAATAAAATTTTTATTATAAAAAGTATTTAGGGATTAATTTCTATCATCGTGAAAATAATCGTTAAAAAATTATTCCGAAAAATAAAAAATAAGGTTTGTAACGATAAAATTTTAAAAATATCACTAATAAATAGACTTTTAGAGACAAAATAATTTGGTCTTAAAATAATTTTTTTTTGAGACAAAAAATTTAGTCCCAAAAAATAATAATTCATCATTAATGTCTAATTTTCATTACTAAAAATATAATAATGACACAATAAAAATATTTAGTCCCTAAAAAATAATTTTATCTCTAAATTTTAGTCTTTAAAACCTTATTATTATTATTATTTTTTTTGTAGTGATATCACTAAACATAAGTTTTTAAGTTTAGTTTCTTAATTAATCCTACTAAATATGGTGATTGATCTCCCTCAAATTTACAAATTGATGAATTTAGAACAAAAATATGTCAATTTTTAGTAGTGCATGCATACACACAATATTCTACTCTTTTTGTTCTCCAACATAATTCAATCCATAAGAAGTCAAAAATAATTGAGAATAAATTTAAAACATCTACTAATATATAATATTATTTGGCTTTTTTAATCTTTTAGACATTCCATGGCATCTTCCTAACATTTAGATTATATAGTTTTTTATATAACGATTGATGCATATAAAAAAAAACTACTAAAAGTTGCTAAGAAATGTAGTCTTACAAATATATATACAAATTCTCAATGTATTTTGAAAAATGATATTCTCGCTTTTGTACCCACTTCGCGATTCGTTTTCTTAAGTTATAAACATTCCAATGTTGAACCCAACACTCTATAATCAACTTATCAATCTTTTGGGTCACATAATTGAACTGATGCGTCAACTTTTAATTATCAAGAAAATACTGCCATTAAGTTTGATAATTCTCTAAAAAAAACGCACAATACTTTGAACTTAAAAAAATAAATAAATAAATAAAAAAAAAAAAAAAACATGTTCACAATGTCCCTAGATTGGGGTAAGCACACTACCACTGTAGGTTTAGTGTTGTTGTAATATATTAATGATTCTTAGGTAGTTAAAAGTGTATGTTTGGTTTTTAGGCAAATGACATGAGTAGCTTTTATATTTTGTATATTGTGTTATTTTAATTTTTATATTTAAATTGGCTTAATTTTAATTTTTAATTTTTAATTTTAAACTTTGTGTCAATTAGGTCAAATTTGATTTTTTATTTTAAAGTTAAATTTGAGCCAATTGAAATTATAAAGACTAAAATAACATCATGTTTAAAATATAGGGACTACTAACGTAATTTATCCTTATTTTTTGTTTCTATTTGTTTGTTTGTTTGTTACATGAAATTATTGTTATACTGCCACATATCTATACTACTATTAAGTAAAAGTTAGACTTTAGTGTCCAAGGTTTCTCTCTATGCCATGTAACATATTTTTCTATTTTAAAATAAAAAGTTATACAACGTCATGGTGCACAAGGTTTGAACTCACGATTTTGAATTTCATTAAAAACATTCTTATCACTTAGACAATATACATATTATAATATTATTTTTTTATTATTTAGTTTTAATCTTATGTATTTGAATTACATACGCATCGCGTATCACCTGCTAATATATATATATATATATATATCAAGTGAACACTCATGTTGGTGTCC